GTAAATGCATTTTGAGTAATTTTAGATACCAACCAGGAGTTTTGTTTATTAAAATATATTGTCTGGCTCAAAATTTACACCTTGTGTTTAAAAGGCAATTCTCTAGTCTTTTTGGAAGGTAAAGGTGAAATATTTTGCACGTAGGTCTCCCTAGTCCTTTAGGGAATTGAGTTAGAGTCCCGAGGTCAGTTTATTAAGAGAAGTATTTATTGAGCTTCAATGGCATGTTAGACACTATGCTAAACACTAAAGTTCTAAAAAAATAAGTCTTGGTTCCCCTCTTCAGTGTGGAAACAAGACCATTTCAAGTCTGTGGCATATTCAACAAAGGAAAGCACAAATTTTGGTAGAATCTCAGATCAGCGGTAAAATCCAAATAAAATCCCCAGTGGGTCATGACTCTAGACTAAAAGCTTAAGGGCTGAAGTTACATTACAAAATGACACACGTGAGTATGGTGTGAGGCCAGAGGATTTGGGGAATCAAGAAGTAAATTCCAGCTGGACACAATATTCTAGCCTGTAATCCCAGTTACTTTGTAGGCCTAGGCAGGAGGATGGCAAGTTCGAGGGCAGCCTGGACAACTTAGTGAGATCCTTTCTCAGAATGAAAAATGGAAAGGACAAGGGATGTAGTATGTCAGTGGTAGAGAGTCCCAGGTTCAATCCTCAGTACCAAAACAAAACAAAACTGTAAATTCCAGAGGGACAAATATAAACATAAACAAAGGAGGTACAAGATAGTATGAACCATAGAGGATTATAATAAACCAATGACATAGTGGACTTTCAGCCTTTTGGTTAAAAATCTGGTTTTTTCTAGAGCCAAACTGTCTGGATTCAAGCCCCCACTGTATATCTACCAGTTTCTAACTGTGGAAAATCAATTAACCCTGCTGTTCCTCAGTTTGCCCTTATAAAATGGGAAGGAAAAAACAATTAGGATTATCAAATAAGGGTAATGTCAAGATTAAATGTACAAGATGCTTATAAAGGTAGTTGGCATATAGTAAACATTAAACAAAAGTTGGTACCATGATTTTTAAACTGTGAAAAGATGAAGGCCATTTTCAATACTACTTTTAAAAATCATCCCTCAGAATTGCATTCCCAACCCCAACGTGAAATGTCACAAATGACAAGGGAATGAATCAGGGCCAAGAACGTGAACATATTTGCAAAGCTCCATCACCACATACATATTTGACAACAGCTTAGTAGCATCAACTCAGCTTGTGGAGCACGCTCATTTACTTTCTGATTTGAAGGTAACAGTTTTTATGTTCCTTGCATCTTTAGTGATTGGCATGTTGCCAATCAAAAATAACCCAGTCAAGGACACTGTGTTTCAAATTTACAAGGCAATACAAACTCCCTATTAAAAGGCAAATCCATCATTTCAAATTGTTGACTCAGAAAGTCCTTAAAAAAGAATTTCAGCTGTTTAAATTTAGCATGCTGAGAAAGACCAATCCTAAAATATTGTTTGGCTCTATGCCTATAACATTTTCATTTTATTCCTTGTTAGTGTTTGTCTTCTGTGATAAGAAGACAAGTGGCAGTAATCATGTTAGGCTCCGTAACACTTCACATTTTACCTAACACTTCACATTCTGTTTTGCTCCTCAGTAGTTGAAGATGGCCTTTTGCTTCTTGGCAAATTTTCAAGAAATGATTATGCAACAATCAGTGATATTTCCATGTACTGTTTTACCTCTACAGTCATCATCTGGCCTTTTTCACCCCACTTTTCTTTGAATCATTTTTTTCCCTCTTAAAAGTGTGTAAAGATTATCTGGAGATAAGCCTAACCTCATTTTTATAATCAGATCTTACAATGATTTAAAGAGATGTTTCAAGTCTGTGTTTTATCTGTGACTTTAAACATATCCACCCCCCCACACACAGCCTAAGGAGTTTTTTAGAGTACCTCAGAACAAAGGATCTGGACACATTTTATGTGTCTCCTACCCTGCCATCCCTTTATTTTCCTTTTATCCCTCTTCCAACTTCATTCCTCCCAAATGAACTCCAGCATCTTCCTGGCAATGTCCCCAGCTTCATTTCCACAGTTTGTAAAGCCAAAGCAGAACCTGAAATTGGATGGTGACTATGCCAGGTTTGGATCGGGGGTTAATTTAGGTTCCAGTTTTGGGGTTCCAATCTTTGGTATCATCAGAGCAGAAAGATCTCCCCTACCTGACGTGACTTCTCAAACACTCACCACCAACTGCATCCACAAAATGGTAGACTTACCACACCTAATCATCAACAGAGTACCATTTGAATACTTCAGGTAAACAACAACAACAACAAAAACGACTAGAAATTGGAGTTAGTCACATTTGTGGGCTAATCCTAGTCCATCATCTACCAAATATGTTGCTTTCAACAATTCTTTTATTCTATGGAGCATTGAATTCCCTCCAAATGGGAGAGAATGCCATCTCCCTTCCGTAGCTGTTATACTATAAATGAAACAACACTTTCAAAATGTTTGACCTAGTACTGCATTGACTATAATTACAGAAATTATCATTATCATTCATTGTGCAATGAGCAAATTATGTATGGAAATAATCTGCAGAGCTCTGAAGGAATTGAATCTACTTCACAGTTGATACCCAGGGTCAACAAGTACATGGGCTCTTACTTGAGGTTATTGTATGTTGGTGTTTTATAAGAGAGAGAATGCTGTAGATGGAATAGGGGCTCTAGGAAGAGGTTCATTCTCAGCTTTGCCTGAAGCTTCCTCTGGGCAGGTGCTCATAGGCTAGAGGTATTACTCTTAAGAGAATTCTGCAACACTATCTTGCATACATAAATACAGCTCTGATCCTGAGTCAGCCAGAAGAAGCATCCAGGAAAGAATAATCTTAAAATGTCATATCAAGCCTATATATATATGATATATATATATATATATATATATATATATATATATATATATATCATACTCATTATTATTTGCAGACAGATTAGATTTAGGGACAAGCAACTATCTATGTCTGACTCGGTTGGCTACAACTCTTTCTTCTTTCAGTAGTGTACAAGGAAACTAGTTCAAACACTGTCCCAATAAACCTCACCAATGGTTTAAACCTTAAAATAATTGCTTTCTTTCAAAAACGTAACAATTTTCTTAACAACATAATACAAATTTTGCTTATCAGTAGGACCAGAAAAGTGTGAATCAAGGGTATTACTATACTTCAACTCCAACTACCTAAGTTTCTGTCTTTAAAGACATTTTCACAAGTTGTTATCAATGTCTTCCACCTGATATTCCTTCTCTTTAGATTGCTACCTGAAGTTCAAGTATTCATCTAAAAGAGTACATGGAACTGCTTGAAAACTCCTTCAACCTATATTCTTCTTTACCTAGATCTAATTTATTGCTGCCTAAGCTTTTTAATCGCCCTCATGTATGCATTATCATAATACAAATACATAAATACATAACAAATACATCCTCTGGATTATATTTTACTCAGTGATTCAGAAAGTCACATGTTTATGCAGAGAGAAATTTCATGTGTGGAATGGATACTACAACAATACAATGCCAAAAGTACTAAGTAAAGCTTTGTATCTAGAGATCGACAGGATGAGCAGCTAATTAGACTAAACAATTTAAATTACATCCTGGACATATTTTATTTTTAGCAAACTAATGAAGATTAGGTGGATTAAAGAAAGTATAATACAATTTAAAATTTAAATAATAGGATAAGAGTAGGCCTTAATTTCCTCTTTTCTCATGGCAGAGGTTTTCAGAATTATTATGCATTTCACAAGAGTTATTTCAAAAGTTTGTAACCACCTTAACCTATAGAGTTTATGCTACTTTATAGGAACATCCAGTTTAAAATCCTGAATTCTGTTTTCGGTACTTTCTAATTTACATTAATCTTTCTTGGAGAAAGATGTAGTAATACAGAAATTTCTCCAATGATCCTCCAATTAAATATAACTTTTTTGTGTACCATATGCTTTCACTTGAGGGACTCATTTTCTTTTCTTTTTCTTTTTCTTTTTGTTTTTCTTTTCACCATTATAAAATTATAATCTATGAGAGGGCCTGGCTAGACACTTCAACATTTTTAGATTAATAATTCCTAGTTTCTCTTTTAGAAAAAAGACCTTTAGTGTTCTGCCTGCATTCATGCTTATTTGGGCATTTGGTTTACAATGGGCTGGCCCTTACTGACCTATTTTTAAAAGAGTTGGTTATCTGCAATTTGAGTTTAAGTTGTTTTTTAAAAGTTTTTTTTAAGGCTTCATTTTCTGCCAGTGAACACAATGCTGCTTAGTTTCTAAGTATAGAGCCATCTATGTAAAAATCACCACTGTGAAATCACAAGGAAGATACTGTTGAACAAGTGGAGATTACTGCAGCAATAAGAAACTGGGGAAACTCTCTGCATGCCACCCACTAAAGAATATTTGAATGTGATCATATTACCAGTGCCCCTTAGGTTGTTGCCTAGCAGTAACCCAGAGGCTGAGTTCACATTTCTTTTTCTTTCTTAATTTAATAAGGTAAATCAAAGACATTTTTGTTTTGTCTGCTTGTTTTATGTTTAGGAAATAAATCAGGAGTGAAACTTACAACAATTAACTAGAGCATTTGGAATTCTAAACCAGCCCCTTTGCTGATTTATTTTTTTAAGGCAAGCTGCCATCTCATCAGTAACTTTCAGCAGACCACTTTGGAATTAAATCTAGAACACATCTACCAGCTTTGTTGCTTAAAATCACAACAAACCGGGCACTTTCTGCAGACCTAACTAGCAATCAGCAGTGCAAATAACTGAGTAACACGACCACAGCGTAACTAGGACAGGAGTCAGGGAGACAAACCGAATGATTGCACATTGCATGGGAAAATTCAAAGCTATGTTTTTCTAACTTTCCTCTCCATTTCTTTTCAGCTTCCCTTCCCCCGCACTCCATACTCAGAAGCCACTCAAATTGCCAACCGTGTCCAGTTTAACTTACTGCAGTGTGATGCAGGCGAAGGTTAGGCGCATCTCCGAAAGGGAGAGCGACTGCTTTTCCGGAGAGGAACTGGGACCCGCCAGCTCTCAGGATCCTTTCCAATTCACACGCCGTCCGCTCAGTAAGAAGGCTCTCCCACAGCTCGGCTTCCCCTGAGGAGTGGAGCTAAAGAACTCTGCTCACAGCATCCTCCTCCCTACTGCCACCCGCTTCCAGAACACACTGCCCCTTCAAACTAGTGTCGGAAAAGATGGAAATCTACTTCCAGGCAACAGCACCGGCTGCCTGCAGTCCACCAGTCCCTGATCATTTGCAACTCAAAAACAGCGGAGGTTGAAAGACATGAAAGACGTAGGTTTCCGGAGCTTGAAAGTCAATTTTGGCGTCCCTCTTCCCCAAATCTCACTCCTCCCACTTCACCCTCCTCCACCACGACCTCCTCTCCCACTCAGGCTAGGTATGGCAAAAGATTATTTTATTATCCATGCCAATAAGCATCAAGAACACTGAATTTACCAGATTGGAAATACCTGTTGTCCATGACTAACGCTCTTCTTTCATCTCTTTTCATCCCTTGATTTTTATCAAAGACGCCTTGATATTGGAAGTCTGTTCAGTGTGCGTGTGTGTGTGTGTGTGTGTGTGCGTGCGCGCATGCAGTGAGGAGGAGGCAATCTGCGCGGCTGCAAGCAACAGCCCTGCCTATCTCTGGCTGCTGCTGCTGTTGCTACTATTGCTGTTGGAGCACAGGGGAAAATCAGGGAGACAGGGCTTCACAGCTGTTTAACTGCTGGTTGAGTTATTAGACAGGGGAGGAGACTGTACAGGTATGAGTGACTGTTATTGAGACATTAAACTGAATTCACTGCAATTACTACCGTTCAGTGTATATCTCCCCTCCCATGAGAAACCTGATACCTGTCTCCCCTCTTTCTACAGAGTATGTAGTCTTTGATGGGTCATTGTTCAGCAACCACCTGCCTAATCCACGTCTATGAATTGTGGTAGCTGCGCACACTATTACTACATTCCAGCTTGGTAACCCAGGAGCAGATGACTGAAGGATGAATAAGGATAAACTAGACATTCATTAAGATGGAAAATGTATATATACATAACCAATCAGGACACACATAAAAATGATGATTTTCAGCCATGAGTGTAAAATAAGGCATCGGATACTAAAAATGTAGGCCAGTCAATAATCAGGTTATCTGATAGAATATGTGCAAACCCTGATAGTTAAAGAGAGTGCTTAACTGTCTCAGTGCAGGTTACATTGATGCATGTGTCCATTGGGGGTTCTCAGCTTCCCCACACACTGTGATTTTGATGCATTAATATTGCCCCATCAACTATAAATTCTACTGAAATCTACTTGTTACTTTTGTTTATGGGCTCTCTCTCTCTCTGGTTGTTGGTTACTTATTTTCTGCCCTCATTTATTTCAATATATTCTCACTTAAGGTGATATTTAGCGGAATGTACATGTTAAAGACATTCTAATTCCTCTGAAGTCCAGGATGCATCTTGATACCTGACGTCATTTACTCTAGCAATGATTTATTTTCACAGTTTTTCTGTAGATTGGTTCATCATGAAAAACCATTACTAAGTACCACTTAATATTTCTAATCTACTTTCATCCTTCAGCTGTCTGAGCTAAAAATAAGCTTAATTCCTTTTGATTTTATTCCTTATGTACACCTTCAATTATTTCTGCCTTGCTTTGAGTACTTTCATGTTTGTCATATATTTTCCCTGACATGAGGGTTCCTATAATCAGGGTTAATTCAGACAGCGGAGACTACAGAAAGAAGAAATCCCTGGAAATATAACAAGAAACCAAATGGAAGAAAAAGAACCCCAAAAGATTAATACATCTCCTGATTTGTTTATATAAGAAAACTACAAAGACCAATCAATGAACAAAGCATCTTTCAATCATCCAATAAATAAATTTGCCAAAACAACTATAATGACAGAAGATGCCATAGGTTAACATTTTGTTTTAAAAATCATATATCCTAAGAGCAAAAAGTATCCAGAATTTTTTAAATGTCAAAATTCTAATAAAACATGCCACACATTTTTGCCATTTATGCTTTGTCTATTAAATAATTATTATATGAAGCACAATTAATATTAAAAATCTGAAAACTAACATCTTATTTTTGTACTTCAATCCACTGCATTGTAAGAAAGTAGTTTCTACCACCTAGAAATACATTATGGTACATAAAGCCAAGGGCAAGTGGTGTGACTTTGAGCTTATTCTGGCCCTCAAACTCCTTTCTCAGGAAGGAACACTATCAGGATCACAAATTTCATAGTTTAGCAGGGTTTTTTTTCATACTTTACCATTTTAGTTTTTGTAGTTACCTTTATCCCTATTTTGAAATTCAACATATTTAGGAAAAAACACTTGAACATTCTTAAGAGACAAAATGTATTAGATATTTTTATTATAAAAAGGGAAGGAGGCTAAGCATTCAGTCTGGGTAGAGAAATAAACACAAGATATTGAGATTATTGGTAATTTTTTTAAACAAATCTATCTAACACTAATTAAATGGACTTGTTAAAAAATGCTCATAGCATTACTGAGAATTAAAGAAAAGAAAAACAGTCTTATTGACAAAATTACAAGATTTGGTAATGAAGAAAATGATCTTCATTTGAAGACCGATCCTTAATTCCTGACTGTTATAATTCAGGATTTCTATCTTGGGGGAGAATTTATAAATTGCTGCTTTTGATTCCTTGTCCATTTGTTTAAGATGCTTCTCTACCCCCAAAACTTCATTTAGAGAAAATTCTACTGTGATATTTATATAATTGATCATTTTTTTAAAAAAAAAGTGGTAGAAAAAATGAACTTGCTCTATAAATACTCATTAATTTAAAAAAGCAACACTTTAAGTAAAGATAGAAATAATCTTAATTTTTATCTAAATCTCTTTCATCATCAACAAATGTTTTCCCAAACTAAATTATTAATGCTACTCCTTTACTAGAGAAAAAGCCAAAAGTTTGCAATGTCTACAAAAGCCATGTTTGTGTAGTTCACTCATTTAGCTCTAGCATCTACCAAAGTGCTTAGAATAGTATGTGCACATTAGTTTTTTTTTTTTTTTTTTTTTTTTTAATATATTAGTGAATAAGGAGATAATATGAGTTTGGGGCATTGGGAAGATAACTGAGCTGGGAAAAAAGTTGTTTGCTGTCTTCCTGTCTTAATTCAGCTGTTAAGTAACTGTGGCACTGTAGGAAAGTGGCACACTTACCAACATCTTGAAGCATCCTTTCAGGTCCATCCCTCACAAACTACACAAAATTGCATGATAAATGCCTATTCTCAATACTGCTCCAGAGTGGGTTTCCACTCTCCAAATGCAATCAATAAAATTTCCTATAATCTCATATCCTGATCATTTTGCAAACCAGTTACATCAAGGACCTTCTTAATCTTTAAGAAATTTACAGCTCTCCCTTATCCCCCTTCTTTGACTTGCCAATCTGGATCTAGTCTTGTGGAGACTAGTTTAGAAGCATAAAGAAATAGGTTGTTGCATACTTATGTAAGAGTTCCAAAAAATGTTAGAGACTTTTATAGACCTTTTATCACTCTCAATAATGTGATTCTTTAAACAAATGATGAGAAATAGCTTATATAATGAAGTATGTTACTTTCAGTAGATAAATTTTTAATTTAAAATTCCAGAAGATAGAAATTTATTTTTAATCAGCCCTTTATGTAAACAAATGCTTAAGAATCACCTTGACAATTGCATATATCTACAAGAAATTAATTTTAAACAGCAACAATAAGTAAATGGTAAAAAGATCAGTAGAGGGAAGGGAGGAGGGAAAGGGGAGGTAGTAGGGACTGAATTAGAACAATATACATTCCATGCTTTTATAATTATTTCAAAATGAATTCTACTGTCATGTATAACTAAAAAGAATTAAAAAGGAGAAGAATTACCTTGTCATATTAATTTTATTCAACAAACATTGGCCATCTATTTCTCTCAAAAGTATGAAGAAACAGTTCAATTAGTCATAACATCTGCTTTTAAAGGACATATTGTCTCATAAATAAAAATTGTTAATTAAAATTAAGAATGTTTATGTTTCAGAAAAGTCAAATCATTCAGATTTATGATAACATGATTTAAATCCTTAATAACTTTTATTTGTATGATTTTTTTAAAAAAGAACTACTTCCTAAATTGAATAGATGAATAAACTGTCACATGGGGACTTTTCCACTGGTTTCAAATCTATGAATCACTGAATGTAGGTTACAAGGCTAGGGGAGACCCAGAAAAGGCATGATTTTATTTCACTCCTTTTAAAAAGAATAATCATCATAATATATTGGACTTGGATAGGCCCTTAGACTTTACCTAATTCAATTTTCATCTTTTATAGAAGAGGAAATTAACAAAGTATATCACTGTGGCTTTTTGCTGGAGAGGCCATCTTACCAGTCTGCTGAACCCAGGCTTTGGCACATAACAGATACACTTACTCCTAGCTAGGTAAATAACTAGCTGAAGACCTTGGGACAATTATCTTCTCCACACCTCAGTTTCTTACCTATAAACTGAGGATAATGATAGTCACTATACTGTAGAGTGGTTGTGAAAATCCAGGAAGAATACAGTGCAGGAGAAGCCCACAGCTCAGCACCTAGTAGGGTTGTGAATGTGTGTGCAAATGAACACACTCATAAGCACACCTAGAATAGCCATTTTCATGACTACTGCCAATTCTTTCTCAGAACCATAATTTCTAAGGTTAGTGTTTAATTACATAACTCAAATTATTTTACATTTGTTTATTTGTAACCAAATTTGTAACTGAATGGAGATAGCTGAATCTAAATGATTCACTTAGGGGCAGCGAACATCTTGCTGAGGTAGGAGGAAGCAATATTTAAAGTCAAAGAATTCTTTCTGTTACCTAACTGGTGTTTTAAAGCAGCACAACTGAGCAGTGATAAATACACAAATTAGTGAAGAAGTTGTTTAGTTAAACTTTCTTAGGCTCTGACAGTATAAGAAGTCCTAAGCTACACACATAATAAAGGAACCACGAAAAACGCAGAAGACAATTTAGAGGACAAAATAGGAAACCTACGATAGAGTTGTAATTTTGCAGTTGAAGTTTTAGGTTGGAAATTAGCAGGCTGTAATACAGCCCAGCCATCTATTTGGCTGTCTCAAAGATGGATGTAGAATACAGTATAATTGATTTAGCAATGGTCATCCACACACAGTTACTGAAAATGCCCATATTTTATAGTGCATGACCTTACTTTATTATTTAGACCAATGGTTTACAAAAAGATAAGGCATACATATTTTGTAGTGGTTTTTCTGATTCTTTCTTAGAAAT